ACTTGACTCAGATAGTAACCAAATGTAAGAAAAATTAGGATGATGGCTGTTCTGGATTCTATCGCACAGTTCTGAATTTTTAGAATTCTTGCTTAAAAATTCCGAATTTTGGATGATCTCGTTCTTTCATTTTTATCTCTGCAAACTGAGCACCTTGTAAAGTCCCCAGGGGACTTTTAGAAACTACATGCTCTACGCTTTCAGATAAAATTCGAAATTCGCAAAACCGTCGTGACGGAAAGAAGTTATAATTTTTTGAAAATGGTGCGACAGAACTTTCGGTTCAACCTAATATAACGGTCTGCGTGCTATATGAAATCCGCCAACAAGTTTGAGCAAGCCATGGGTTTGATTTTGGGGCACTGTTACCAATGCGCAAAAGCGGCTAGCGGGGGCTGCTGGCGCTTTATGAAGGCACCCTGACAACGTTTCCACCTCCATCCCATTAAGCGTACCCTTTGCTTCAACCAGATTGGCTGCTGAAGGGCTGGGCTTCATGACCTAAGAGGCGACTGCTCGCGTCCGCGATGCACTCTGCGCCTCCTCGCGAAGTGCTCTCCGATTATTTTGCAGACTTAATTAGGTCACGGAGCCCCACCTTCCAGCCCCTGATCTGGTTGAAGCAAAGGGTACGTGTCGTTTTATTTTCAAATTACCTCTTCAAACATGTTACTTTTATCTACAATTCAGATTGATCTGGACGGATTTCATATAGCACGCAGAGCGTAAACCAACCAGATCGGCGGCTGGAAAGTGGGGCTCCGTGACCTAATTAAAGGCAGCGGCTCGGCAGATTGACCTACCTCAGATTTTGGCACAGATGGATAGGAGGCCCTCCAAGTGAACCAAAACAGCAACTCCGCGCCGAAGATGTGAACTCTGCAAGCCAGGGGGGCGGCCCAAGCGCCGCTCCCCTTCCTCCTTTCGCTCCCCTAACACCTTGTTCGGACGAGTTTTCTCCGCTAGACGGCGCGGGACCCCCCCAACCGCTTTCCCGCATTGTGCATGCTATACAAAGCCAAAATTACAGGCAGCAGCTCAGACACTCGCTGTTGACTCGCGCCGGTGATCCGCCCCTTTTTGAGGGGTTCGCGGGAAAGGGCGTAGACATGCGCGAGACAATATTTTGACAGTTTTTGCGGATGGTCGCGCAAGAAAATCGGGAGATGATGAGTGACTCAGCGAGCAGTTTCGCAATATCGACGCGCATTTCAAATCTCAGCTCATATTGCATCATTCCAGGTTTTTTGCCACCTATTTTCAAAATTCGTGCATTCCATCCATTCTACCTAAGCCCCCTTCTTTCCATTATTTCATTCCAATCCAAAATTAACTTTATTTGAAATCCAATTTTGAAGCTTCTTCTCTATAAATCGAATCCTAAGTTTGCATCATTATTTTTCATCGATTTAGATGGTGGACAAATCTTGGAAAGGACGACAAGGAGCGATCATAAGCCTTCGACATGCTCCCACAGGCCAGGATGGATTGGGCGGTCTTCGCTCGCATAGCCGTCGGAAGAGCCTTGTAAGCTATTCGAGTATTGATAAGGCAGATGGACATTCCATCTTGCGTTTTGCAGGAGAGATGTACGGGCTTATGTACTGAATCCAGTAAGAGCTAAACTCCTTCCTCCAAAGGTAAGATGCCAGTGCACTTATTCCCAGTCTTCGTCGACATGGTTTTTTCTTTTCAGAAGCGTGTGATCGAGACTACGGCAAGCAGCTCTTCTGCTGCCAAGGAAATACTACTTTTTTCTAATTTGCTGTACTTACATATCACTATCATATCATTTGCCTTAACTCTACACCCGCTTTTGCGTAACCTTATTTGCATTCCAAGATTCTCATTGCTTAAACGGTTACCAAGTACACTTCTCTCTCATCATGTATCTCCATAATGTGAAGCTTTAAGATAGTAAACATAGTTGCTTGACTCCCGCCAAGTTCTTATTTGATTTTCTTGCGTGGCTACATTGAACATAACTCTATCATAGAAATGTTCCTAAGGCTCCCGCCAGAGTGCTGAAGTTACGCCAGCGCTACGCCAGCATTTCGATCGATACACGTGTATTTCGTTGGGGACATCTACCTGCTGAGCTAGCCCCGCCCCAACGAAATACACGTGTATCGATCGAAATGCTGGCGTAGCGCTGGCATAACTTCGGCACTCTGGCGGGAGCCTAAGACTGAAGTAAATTCACTATGTGCTAATGAAGTTTCTAATCAATCCTTATGTCATTTTAAGTAATAAATTGGTCAATTTAGACTTTATAGAATTCATATATATATATATATATATATATATATATACGTGTACATATATACATACATATATTAGGTTGGCACATAAGTAATGCAACTTTTTGTATAACTTTTGTCTATTTGAACGTAGCGCATTCATTTTTTGGCAATAAAAGGAATATGATGTAAGCTTCTAATGCACACATTTTTGCCGAATTTTAGCATCTTATGTGAGGATTACGGTAGGTTTACGGTACTATGGGAAAAATTTTAGAATGCATCAGATTTTGCTGAAACTTGGCCTATAGGGCTTATTTGACATGCTGATCACAAAAATGAGACCCATTTTACATGAAAAGGCCTCGTTCGTGAGATCAAAATATGAATTTCATTTTAGCGACAAATGAATATGATATTCGTGTTTACCGCATAGGATTACTCTATAGTGCAAAGTCATAGCGAATTCTGACTTTTCGCAGCTTAGTTATTGACAAATTGCTTTCAAAACTTGACGCATTTGACTTGTTCAACTTCTCAAAGGCGTCCCACCTTAATTTGTGTTTAAATTTCATTTCCTTTTCACTGATTCCAATGTGCCAACTTCCAGCTACATGCTGCCTATAATTGATTTTTCATATGTTTGAATCAGGTTTCGTAGGTCTTCATGTTTGCCAAAAAAATCGTGAAACCTCGATTTTCAGCAGTTTTCAAAAATTGCTTGGATTTTTTGTACTACGTTATCAAAAATCAAACGGTTTGCGCAGACTTGCAGCTTACATCACGATCTACATGATGCCACAAAATGAGATTGCTACATAAAATAGGAAAAAAGTTACGGGAAAAGTTGCAAAACTTATGTGCCAACCTAATATATACATATATGTATGTACATTTATATATATGTATATATAAATACATATAACGTATATTTATACATACACATATAAGTATATACATATATGTAATGTACAGCAAATAGGGATATAGCGAAATTACTACTGCGAGATAACGCGCTCCGCGTCCCCACATCAGGATGTGTCGCCCTCGAGCTGCCGCGTATTTCCTGCAAGATGCAGGTCGCGTCAAAGCGTTGTCTCGTGCAGCATTGTTCCGACACATAATGCTGTCTCGGGATTTCTTCGCGAGGCCAGTTAGTTGTGTCGCGCCTTCATTCAGCGCTTACACAAAACTTTGGGCTGCGCGAGTCAACAGCGAGTGTCTGAGAGGGTCTTCCGACTCCTTTGAGAATTCTCGTCCGAGCTGCCTTTTGTAACTTGAAAAAAACGCCCCGAAAAAGGCCTTTTCACCCCTTTTGAAGCTCAGATTCGGGATCTACGGGTCGAGAAGGCCTAAACATGCAAAAAGATGGAAATGCAAAATCTGCCGGGACGCTGCCTTTAAGTCTGCAAAATAATCGGAGAGCACTTTGCGAGGAGGCGCAGAGTGCATCGCGGACGCGAGCAGTCGTCTCTTAGGTCATGAAGCCCAGCCCTCCAGCAGTCAATCTGGTTGAAGCAAAGGGTACGCTTAATGGGATGGAGGTGAAAACGTTATCAGGGTGCCTTCATAAAGCGCCAGCAGCCCCCGCTAGCCGCTTTTGCGCATTGGTAACAGTGCCCCAAAATCGAAGCCATGGCTTGCTCAAACTTGTTAGTGGAAATATTCGACATGCTGAACATGGATATCGTAATCTTCTTACATTCTAGAGAGGTCCTGGGATACCTGGGATAGTGCGCAAAAGCAGCTAAAGGCGGCCAACCGCGGCTACTGGCGCGCTGAGCAGGCACCCTTAAAAGCGAATCGCCTACTTCAGCTTTCACTATTTGCGGGCACTGTTTGCAGTAAGTATGATACGTTTATCAACTCTGGCGGCTTGCAATATCAGGCATCTCATTTAATTCATCGTACAAATTTTTACTTTGCAGTCAATATTTCATCTTGTTTTTCAAAGTGACTTATCTTTCTTGCTCGCTTACAATTAACATAACTGCAGCTAATGCCTCAATTGCTGATGAATGGCTTTTAGGCCCCTATCCGGTGAGATCATGCTCACTCCAGAGCAAGTTTAAATTGTTTATTTTGTCCTTTTTAGCATCTATATTAATGAGCATTGAACTTCTCCGTCTAAATCTTATACATAAAGCTGAATGTCTGTTTGTCTGTCTGTATGTCTGTCTGTACGTATGTTCCGAATAGAAAATTCCATTTCTGAACCGATCGGGACCAAAATTAGCACACATACACTTCGGGCCCCGGCGGGTGTCATAGGCTACTTTTCGTCATCGATCGATATCGATTTTATCGATTTTTTGCAAAATTTGAGCTACGGGGCTGGGAGTTGGCACAGGGGGGTAATCGAGCATGCCCCGTGGGGGTGATCAGCATGCTCGATTACACCCCTCTTCCAGCCCCCTAGCTCAAATTTTGCAAAAAATCGATAAAATCGACATCGATCGATAACGAAAAGTGGACTGTGACACCCGCCGGGGCCCGAAGTGTATGTGTGCCAAGTTTGGTCCGGATCGGTTAAGAAATGGAATTTTCTATTCGGAACATACGGCGGAGCCGGGTAAGCCACCTAGTGACGTATAAGGTATGAGCGAATGTACCATAATGCTGATGTCCCTTTACATTATTTGACGATTTGCAGACCCACACAGCTACCATAAATTTGAGATATTTACAAGACTAAAGTGTTATAAGTATATTCAATTAGTAATTTGAGGCAATGAGCGTAAAAATAGCTACGTTACAATATCAATGATTATTTTCCTTCAACGAGACTTTCTTGTATTGAGATTGATCAACATCGTCGAAGGGATAGAAGGGATGGCCGATAGCGCTGAAACGAGACAATCTTACTAAACCTACTATGTAGTACGTAAATAATGGTCAAGGAAGTTCCAATTAGGTGAATGCTCACAGATCCCAAACAAAAATTCTTGTTCGTATCTTGATAGAAGTGAGTTTCTGCATCTCTTCTTCACTTAGAGAAAAATCGAAGACATCGGAGTTCTCTTTGACTCTAAACTTCAATCATGACGAGAAAACCGATTTTTCAAATGGTTTTACTGACCGTTTCGGCTTGACGCTTTTCGGTATGACAGCCATCCCTCGCTCGATGAGGAAACGCAGTAGTATCTGCGCAGGAGTTTTATGATGCTTCTCTGCTAGTTCCTTTACTGTAGGATCTGTTAGTGGGTCGCATTCTCCCCATTTCAAGTTAGGATTCCAGTTCTCAATTTGTGAAATATTTTAATAATTTAGTATACAGAGGAGTAAACCCATACCTTGTGTGCACGTGATCCTAATGGTGCGTAAGCCGTGAAGGAGATGTTGTGCGCTTTGCAAAATTCGTACAATTCGTTTTGTGGCCAGTATAAATGACACTCAACCTATTTCGAATGGATATAAACAACTACTGCACCAACAATGCAAATCGTTTGTTTACCTGTAAATTTGCCGGTTTTATTCGGACATTATCGTAAATACGTTGAATCTGTTTAGCATTGAAGTTGGATAATCCCAGAGCCTCAAAATAGAAGGTTGAATCCTCTTACTCAACGTGCATAAGACAATTACCTTTGCTTTTCCAGCGTCGTACAGCTTTTCCATGGCACGCCAAGTATCGAGATGGTCTACCGTAGAATAGACCTGCATATCATCAACGAACGCAATTTCAAAACTATCTTTCTTCCTCTGTAAAATGAAAAAGTGATGCGAGGGCGACACTCAAACATTGATAACATAGTAGATACGGTAAATATACGCTTGCTTTTATGAGGTTGGGCGACAAAAATTATGCGCAATGAAAAAAAAACGATAAACTACCCTTTGCTTCAACCTCATGGCTGCTGGAAGGCGGGGCTTCATGACCTAGGAGGCGACTGCTCGCGTCCACGACGCAGTCTGCGCCTCCCTCGCGAACATACTCTCTGATCATTTTCTAGTCTTAGGAGCCCCACTTTCCAGCCGACGATCTGGTTGAAGCAAAGGGGGTAGGCCTGTCAGTTGCGCTGCAAAAATCTAGCATTGATGCCCAGCTATTTGTGTATGCGCAAATTTTGTCACCTTATCTCGGTACCGCAAGGACACTATAGCTACTGTCAGATATACTACCTTATGACTTTCGTGTATGAATTGAGACTATTTTTAGGTTATTAAGAAAAAATTCAAATCTTTAAAAATTTTGCTACTTCGTACGCTTTGTGAATGGCTAATCGATAAAGTATGTAACCTCAACAGGTACTGGACAATGGATGAGGTAAAGATCGACATAGTCAAGTTGTAACGCATCCAACTGCATCTGAAAGCACCTTGCCACGTCCTCCGGAGCGTGTGCCGTGAAAGGAAGCTAAATTGATTGAAAATTATATGTTAAATGTAAAGCGCATACCAGGATTGGCTGAAGTGAGGAAAACGGATTTCTCTATAGTAGATGCCCTCTTTTCACATCAAAATCACACAAATTCCTCGAGCTGCATCATTTCATCAGGCGGTACTCTTTCTCAAGGCCTCTCGGTTTTCATTTCTCGGTTCTTTGGAAGGAATAGTTGATCCGCTTAGTGGACCAAGTATTTCTTGAGGTCGTGTTTGAGCAATTTATTACGTAAATGATGTTTAAAGGGCGGTTAAATGTAAATGTTTTTGCGATATCTATCTCATTGTTCTGTCAATGATTTCCAGCGAGACAATTGCCACCCTCCTGTCCGACATTCGCACATAGCACAAGAGTTTTATGAATTTGAAAATTTCTAGAATTACCTTCGTAGTAATGAATATATCCGATCGTTTAAGTTTTCCATTCTTGAAGTATTCCTGCAGCACCTTTCCAATGACAGCTTCATTGTGGTATATGAAAGCAGTGTCTAAATGCTATCATGAGGCCATGTAATATGCTTGTAAGTTCTTACCGATGAGACGATAGCCACCGTCGAGTGCTGCCTTCAAGGCAGTAGTCAGCTCTTCTTCGTTTTCAGACTAGAATATAAGCAACGTTTGTACGGTATTACTCTAACCTTGCCTTAATCTTGGATTGCAAGTCAAAATTTAGGGAGATTTTTCATAAACATGGTCAAAGCTTTGGTATCAGCACTATACATAAGTCATAAATCGAACGTATATAGCTAATTCACGGTCAATACATCGATAATTTTCGATGGGTGTTTCCTTTTGACTCCGCGCACTCTCTTTTCCGGCTCATATTTGACAGAAATTTCTCCGAATAAACGATTGCAAGTTAGTAAATATAGAATCAATAATGAAGTGGGATAAGCTGGTGACTAAAAAAGCCACGAATTCTACCCCCCCCCCCCTCCTCCCATCACACAAAGCTTACTATTATCTTCAATCCCCGTCCCAGGTAATGACTTCGTGTTCAGATTTTGCTGACAGTCATCGTTAAACGTACGAATAAAGAATAAAATTTCTACATAGCCGTGGGCCGAATGAAACGAATGGATCTTCTTTTTGGAATGTTCTGTATGGGTTAAAAATAGGTGCAAAAGAACTGTGACTTTTTAGACCTTCTCAGTTGAGTTAGCCCTGCGAAAACAACGTGGGTCGGATTTTAAAAAAACTGCAGGACTCTAAGCAATAGCTATGACTCATCAAACTATCAAGGATTCTGGGACTTGACACACCTATCTATACACAATTTCAAGAAAAGGGCTACGCAAGCTCTAATTGTTCCCGTTGCTTCGATGGAAAAATTTGATGCTTATAGAACACACATGAGTTTAAAAGGATATGGTCGCTCTCGGTGAAATCTGATTTTCACAAAGGATTCTACGAACAATCGAAAACAAAAGGTGAAAAATATACCAGCCACGTGCCAAGGCCTAAGATAGGCATGGAGCCACCGCTCGAGAGCTTGATCGTTCCATCCATCTGCAAAGCTTGAGCTCCTACAGCAATCCAGCAACGACATTTATGAGTACATTGATACAAATATAGGAGCTACTTCGATGATTATATTTGAGTCAACATGATTTGATGCATATACGTATCAAACTAGTGTAGTAGCATCATATAACTTGCAGTGATGCCGACGTGCCTGCCGTCATTTGGCACAAAAAATTGAAAGCAGAAATTCAATAAACAAAGAGGAATCGAACGATAGGGCAAATTTTCCTAAAATCAGAACAGAAAGCTTCTTATACGTATGGCTTACTCGCTACATGATTCTCACACAAAGCTTCTTTTGTCCACTAATCCTCAGCATTAAGGGGAGATACAATACTTCAAGCAAGTTACTTCGAAACTCATGTCTAAATTTTCCTCTTGGCTGCCAAAACAGAATGCCCAATAGGCAATATGGGAATTGTCTGAATCACGAATTTCGGTTTATCGATAACATCGTTTTCTACCGCGAAAAACGATGCACATTATACCATTGCTAATCAAGAAATGTCATTCAAAGAACCAAAAACTTTTCTAATGATCTTTAAAATATTCAAAACTCATATTACGCAAGAAAAAGTGAGCAAATACTGTTGGAGTGATCAACGTATCAATTATAAGGTTAAAGTAACGCGCGTTTTGCGAGTTCTCACTTTGACGTGTTATAACTTTCTAAAAAAGTTACATTTTTCAATGCGGTAAAAAACAGTAAAGACACCAAACCGTTCGCAACACAGACATCCCCCTATACTCATATCACCAACGGGCAGGAAAATATGGATTGATAAGCAGAAAAAGTTTTTTCTTAACTTCGCCTTCAAGTGATCATAACTTTTCTTTGAAATTTGTTAATATAGATATTGAGCAGACTGTTGTAGCCGGAAGCCAGTAGTACAAAAAAGGTTGAAAATGGCTCAAACAAAGAGGATTTGCGAAAAGGAAAAAATCAAAATCCAAAATTATCCGCTTTTTTGAACATTTTTCCCGGGCTTAAAAATCCAAAATATGAAGTTTTTTTTGATTCTCTGCGTTATGAACAGCTACACAATTCTGTAAAAACTGCTAGCAGGAGGCCCACCCTTACGCTTACACAAATCAGCAAAGCTTTAACGATTGCAATAGTAAAATGAGCCCAATGTATACAATTTCCATTGAATACAGTAGCCATGATTTCAAAAGTTTTCCTTTATTCGAGCTTGATTTCTGGCCAGAGAAGTAAACGTAATGAAGTCCTAGTTTTAAGTGCGGTTGTGTGTGAAGCTCTATTATTTTTTAACTACTGAAGCTAGAAGCAGATGAAAGGAGCTTCCTGATAGTGTGCTAAGTTTTCCCCAAAAAAGAAAGCTTGATGGAGAATAGTTGTCCTAAAACAAGGGCAGGAAAAACGCGCATTCTGCACCAACCTAATAGTATACTCATTTTTCCTAACTCAAAGTAAACAACTTGTAGAGCGGCAAATTAAAAAATATGGACACTGAGCAGCATATACGTAACATTAACTGCTGGCTATTATTGTCTATGACTAGTAAGTACTGTCACACCAGACTTGGGCATTTTTTGCTCAGCAAAGAATATTTCGATTATGTTTATGTAAGTAATCGTCAATTCTTAAATAGAGAAAAATAAAAGATGAGACTGAAAATACTTTGCTGAAGCCTAATTATTTTGGATTGAAGTCCAAATATGAGTGTTTTCTCATATCGACTTGTACCATTGCTATACGTCAATATCTACTTCTCTTCAAAACTAAAGGGTCGCTTGGATGATTATAAACTCATGTAGTATGTACATATCGAAACTTAAACAGATTGCGAACTTCTAAAGTTTTGGATGCAAGATTTATGTTCTAACCAAATATCTTCTGAGAATATGGTTGGGACTTAGTCTTTAAGAAAATATTACAGAGTGCGCAAGCTCAGCTATTACACCGAAAACCTGTGTACGACAATGAGTTATGTAACAACTCTATTAAGTAGGTGCCTCTTGAAATGGCAAGAATTACATCGTAACAGGTAGTAATGCAAAGCAACGTTGATCAACGTAATGCGGTTGTACAGATCAACTATAAGTTGTTGACTGCATCACGCTTGTTTTGATGAACGACTGTTGCCTAACAATTGCTCCCCTGGACGTAGAACAACATATCAAAATTTTAATCGATAAAATGTTCTCAAGTGATTTATGATGCAGACCAACGAGCATATAAAAAATTCTGAGACGGATATCTTCAGGAACGAGATACTAGGTTGACATGCAATTTCTGCCCCATCATATGCTACTACGGTGCTGTAGACACTGATGGGTGGAGCACTGTTTGGTAGGAGAGAGGACCCTTACAGTGTGACACGGCATGAGCTCGACCACTATCAGCCCACACGTACGAATTCCAAAAATATTTGCAGGGTGTTCCAGAAATGTGCCCACTATCTCATTGTCCATACTCTCTTGCCATGAGATCTTCGAAGAAGACTTTGTCATTTTGTAGAGCTGGCTTCAACTTATAGTCAAACTATAGAGCGAGTCTCCGATCAGTCACTCCTACTGTAGGATTGGTAGAAACTTTAGCATGAAAACTCTCATGCTAGGCCAGTGAGAGTCGCTGATAAAAGCATGAAATTAGCACACCACAGTCATGTTCCTTCCATAAGTTATTCGTGGTAAGTCCTAACAGCTGCTTTTCCAATGTTTTTCAGAAATGTGATCTCACCTCCAGAAAAGCTCAGAAAATTGTAAAAGTTGACTGATGCTGACTCGTCTTATACTATCAAAATGGCACCTAAAGCTTTTTGAAAGGCTTCATTAGGAAAGTTATTAACAAATAACAATGGACACATTTTTAGGGACAACTTGTATATTTTGACTATTTTGACTATCCATGTTCAATTTTGTCTAGATTTTTGACTTTCAAGTTTCGTTTTCAGCTGCAGTGTGTGCAGGTGAGTATTAATGATTAAAAATACACCTTCCTCGGCTACATGGCAATCACAATAAAGATTGTGACCTGTTGTTGATAAACATCTGTTACAAAAAAATGTGAGGATTATTAGGCAATTGCTTGAGGAGGTCAAATTTCGGGCAGTCCAAATTGATAGAGTTATTTATGGTCATGCAAATGGTCGGAAAATGAGAATCTAATGTGTGGATACCATATGTACATTTTATACTCAACTTCAATTCGTTTTTAGAGCATGATTTTTCGATGACTGTTTTACTTTACATCATTTCGTCATGAAAAAATTTTTGCTCAAACAGAGTTAGCCTGCAGTTCTCCTCCCATACCATACATTTTTATAAAAATTCATCTGCGACATTTTTACAAACGGTTGAAAAGGACCGGAACTATTTTCATCAAAAGATCCGTATATAAATCGAAACTATTTTCTCTATAAGAAACTATTCAGCCAACCATTAAAGTAGGTAACATGGACCTAAAAAAATATGGACAAAGGTTTGCCTATGTCTTTTACGGCGCCAAGATCAATCAAGTACTTAACAGACCGCTCATATGCAAAATGTAAACATTTATTTCAAACAGCAATACCATCTATGAAAAATACAGAATGTTGACGTCAAACGAAGCAGACACATCATTTAAGGCAGTAATCAGAAAGAGTTTGAGTTGATGACGTCACATTTCAAAATATATATTTACACATAGTAGCTGTCCTAAGCTAGAGATTAATGACAAATAATTAATTGCTCAAAGAAAAACTGGTTCAGAGAAACAGACTAGATATTCTTCCCCTAGGTAGAAGCAAGAAACACTTTTTTAGTGTTGCTCACTTAGAGGGAAATTATTAGAAATAAGATAAGTATTAACTAAGTTTAGTCGTTGATTAGTAAGAGCGGTAGCGCTCTAGTGCGCGAGATTAGTTGAGACATTGCGAGAAAGAAAATGACGGCTGTCGAGAAAGCTCCAGGCGGTCCTTCACTGGCTACTGTAGGTCTACTGACTGTAGAGAGTTCGGCTAAACGTCACATAGTCGTAGGAACCCGGGGGTGCGTGCGGGTCGTTCGATAACGCCATTCGTTGCATGCAATAGTGTGCTTGGTCCGCTGGCAATTCTCGACGCAATTCGTCCGCGGTAATGAAGGGCTGAAATAAAAAATTCTTGGAAAATTTCCGACGTTTTATCTGCGAAGACAAAACTTATAGCAAAAAGTTTCAGTCACCAACCTTGCCGGCTGCAAGAATACGGAACGAATCTATCATCTGTTCCACTGTATCCGCATCAGCGGCTTCGACTGTCATGAAATCGAGGAACGCATCGAATGGAACACGTCCCATTCGATTCGGGTCAACATGAGCGAGGATACGATGGAGTTCAGCATCACCCTGAAAATATTATAAAAATTCTAACGGGCTATGAAAATGGATGCCAGCCCTAAAAACATTTTTCAAAGCCAATCAAAAGTAAAAACGTTAAATGTATCTTAAGTGCAAATTCGATAGTTCCAACAGGACTCAGTTTAGGTGGCGCAAGGATAAGTTACATACCCTTTTAGGGGTGAGGGTATATCCCCTTTGCAGGCAGTGTAAGATAGTGTAAGAGTGTGGAAAACGAAAGAATTCTTAAGATTTAGGTTAGCCGTATGCAAAAAGACTTCAGAGGGCTGACCAACCCCACGCTCAGCTAAACAACGAAATTTGTTGTCCACACTCTCCCCCTCCCTCACTTTTGCTAACTCCCCATCTCTAGACGTCCCACGCGTGCTCACACTACCTAAGCAATCCCATTCTCAGAAACAACGGTTTCTATCTCCATATGTTCTAAGTACACGCGAGTTCATAATTGTGCTTCAAAATGAACAAATGGATTAGTATACTAACGCAATTTTACTTCGACTCTTTGTTTATATTAGCTGGAAAACTGGAACAATGTTAGCGCAATCATAAAAAAAGTATGTAAAACGAAGACTTCCCAGACTTTGTTCCATGTTAAAAAGACTGAGAATTGAAAGACGAGCCACTCGAGGAGAACAATGTAATAATTTTACCCTTCTCTCATATAGTTTTCTAACCGTTTTGACGGAGCTTTTTCCTACATCTTAAACCCTATAAACAACTACAACTAACGCAAACTTCCTCCTCTGCTAATAGCTCCTCAAGAATTTTGTATGGTGGCGGCAATCCTGCTCCAAGCGAGTGCACGTGTTCGCCGAACACGGCATGCCTCATTTCGGTACAAACATCGTTGATCCGTATATTGTGTCTCGGCGTCCGTACTGTGTTCCACTTTGTTTTTATTCTCTTTCTTTCTTCCATGTTTTTACCACCTCACAAGGTATATCGTAGTTTGTTTGCAAAGCCAATAGTGACAGTTTCCAAAACTGAGGCCACCTCATACCGAAACCGTATTCAGCTATTTTTGTATGTCAATTAAGATTTACCTCTCGCCCTGGTCGAATATTGTAACCGACGGAGATCAGGCATGAGCGCAATTGTTCCGGATCTAGACCTTGCCTGTCCTTATCAAAGTGATTGAACGAGGCGCGGTACTCGTTTATTTGTTCTTCTGAGATTCCTTTGCTATCGCGCATCAAAATCTGGAACAATTCTCTTTGATTACAAAAAATCATACGCGGAATTTTACTTACTTGATTTTCTAACTCGTTAATGGTCCTATTTATGCTAGTAATCAAGCTCTCCCAACCAACACGGAGCGATTCCATAGAATATCTTCAGGGGAAGAAATAGATACAAATCAATTTGAACGTTAAACTTCTGCTACCTGCTCTTCCTATTTTCAAATACGAAGTTCTCCTGCATTTCTTGATGAATTCTCTCCAACTCGTCAAGATTCGGTTTGTAAAGCAGAGCGTCTTGATGGATGCCACGCAGCTGATGAACAGCATCTTCAAGGCGTCCACGTCCGCCGAGACCGATGGCCAAGACCTGGACAAGGGTTAAGATCAGACACATTCGAATAAATGAAAGAAGAAATTATCAAAACGCCGATATGTAATGGCTCAAATTGAAAGGCCTAATTCTTTCTTAGGATAAACAGCTCTGTATCAGATGATAAGATCTTTTCAAGAATCTCGGAATGTGGACATTGCTGTACATTATAAAATTTCTTTAAAATCTTCCGAAAATGGAGAATTTTTTGAAATTTACGAATACCTCTCTTCGCTTGCAAAGGTTCTCATACAGTGAGAAATCAAATATGTACCTAATTGGAATCTTTTGTTTTATATATCCCAATGATCTCCCAGAACCGCAAAAGCATTGAAGTCAAAATTTAGTGAAGATCCTGACAAAGCTTTACACCTTAGAGCCTTTGTAGATCCGACATCAAGTACCATAGATCCTGAGCGAGTCAGCTTTTGTAAACATTAATTTGTTGAGAATCTTCCCGTCGAATGAGACTCATAGGTGTTAACTTTTCAGAATCAGACGTCTCTTTGAGATCATCAAATAGCAAACGAGATATCTGACAAATGACGCAGAAGAGGACTGTCCAAAATTTACCTTTTCCAGTTCTCGCTCCAGCCATGGTCCAACTTGATTGGCTTTCTCAGCAAAGATTGTGCGAAGTCGCTCATTATCTACAACATCACACTGATAGTCATGAGTGACGCTTGAGAAAGTGCGCATGCGGTGACGACAACATTTGCGCGAAAAAAAGTCATGTCTGTGTAGCCGACCACTAGCATGTGAATTGCGCGTAAAATCTGGCCATATAAGCGCATATGTTGTCATTAACGCAGGAATTATATTCTGAAAGTCTAATCTAGGGTCTTAGACTAATCTCACTCTGTTGTCTTCGCAATTCACTCTGCAGTTGTCCATCCCGCCTTGGCACTGCCTGCTGGACCTCACCCCATTTACGGCGGATATCGGATGCCGAAAGGTCAGTGTAGGGATTGCGTAGAAGTTCACGATCAAGCCCATGAGCTTCAACAAGGCGTTCAATTTCCTGGAATGAATGAATTATTGTGTCTTTAATAAAGATATTCTATGCTTTTTTACCTGCTCGATGCCAGAAATGCTGCCAAATTCTCTATCAGCGTCGCCAAGCGTTGATTTGAATTGGTCATGCGCTGCACAGAGTTCTTGAATCTCTTTCATCTCATGAACAATTACGAGGTCAGCGAGATCTTCTCGAGCACCATCGAGCCAATTGTTGAATGGGGCAGCCCTAGGGCCAAATTTGAGTTTGGCTCTCCCAAAAAGGTAAAAGACGATTTCCTTTTACCTTTTGGCGAAATCAAGATAAAGTGCATCCAAGCGCTCAGCTACATGCTCAGCTTCTTCGAGAGCAATTCTTCGTTGAGTTGCCAACTGTCCAAGGCGATCCCATTGAGAGCAGATGGCCTGAAAATACAACTACATGGTTATATGAAAAAATCTGAATGCAATTCTCTATATTTTCAGACTGATTGGATGTTGTCCGCTATACAAGAAACTCGCAGTAATATGAGTTTCACAGAATTTCTAAAAAATACTTCGCAATACATTCGGCCTCTCCTTACTGAGGAGTCCGGAAGGGCCTAGAAAATAAGAATTTGTCTAGAAATACGGGACAAAACTGAATTTTCAAATATACGATTTCCTGTGACGACTGCCTCACACATACGTACCAATGGAGCCTTCAAAAGGATACTTACATACATTCTGTACATTCTTCGGAGAGGGGGAGGAGTGGGGAGACAATAAGTTTGTAATATAAAGGTGCATGGCGATAGTCAAGCTTTCCGAAAAAATTTTGAGATGCTTCCCAGAATCTTTAGAATATTTTAGTATTTTTCATTATTTACAAGTACGAAAATCACACATTTTTATAACCATGAATAATAGAGTGGTGGGGGAGGGGCAGATATAAGAACTTGCAAAGGCTGCCTACAGAACTGCATGCTAGCGCTGTGCCCGAACGTCTATCGGTCAATACGAGATAGTCTACTTTCCACGTAGTTCCGACGCAACGTTGGCACGGCGCTGGTACGGTGCCGGCACACGGGCAACTCTGCACGCTGCATAATTTGTTAATCAGCTCTTTTCTGTTCATTCTATTGAATCAACGATACGGAAAATTCCAGAAATGTTTCTCTTTGAAGCTATTAACAAGCAGTTCACACACCTGGCAGCGAGCGTTGATGGGTCCAATGTCAGGATAGCGAAGATTGTTGAGCTCCTTGGCGATAAGTGCAATCTGCTCAACCCTATCTTGATGAGCGCCAAGATCGCTCTCAAAGGCTTCGTGTCGTTTACGAAGAGCCTAATTAAAGATAAATGGAGTTGAATCTAGTATGGCAAAAGCGCTCTACCTTGATCTTATACAATCCACAACTCTTCCAGTCCTGAACTCGAAGAGCTTCCTCTTTACCGTGGGACCATTCTTCGTGCAGGGCACATTTACGACGGAACTTCTCCGCCAAATGTTCAAGACGTTCAAGACTGAAATTCAATAGATGGAATAACTATGATAACTACCGGTTGGGATCAGTAACCTACCGCATGATTTCGCTCAGCAGCCATTCTTCGAAACCTTTCTCCGAATCTTCGAGATTCTTCCACGCATTGTTAATATCCTGGAAGTACACATATTTTACCTCAGTATAGAACTGTATTTTTACGACCTACTTTTACGAGATGACCATCTCTGGGCAGAAAAGCTGGTCTATTTGATAGTCTAAGTCGAGTTTGAAGTGTGTTGAATAAAGTCTCTAGGCGTCCCTTATCTTCAATTCGAGGAGGCTTCTCATGCCTGGAAAAATATGCAATCTTCTGAATTCTAGCTATAGAAAAATTGTGGTTCTTACCTACGATAATTACGATAATCGTCTAGTTTTCTCTGTGCTACTGGCAGATTGTCATCTGTCGTTCTATTCGCCAGCCATGGCATCCAGTGATTGATCCAGGCAAGAAGCTTAAATTTCAATTTTTGATTTTCTACGAATTTCTTTTAACAGTGGAACCAGAAACTAACATCGCTGGCTAGATGTTCATACTCCTGCATCATCTTCTCATTCTCCTGGTTGACCTTGAGTACACGGCAAATTCTATTAGCCGCAGTCTCCGCCTAAAATGTATTTCATACCGATAACATACAAATGACCATAACAACCAAACAAAACTGACACTTAGGGGGATAAAACGGTCGACTAGGTAGGCTTAGGCGTTAAGACAAAGACCAATCAACTACGTGCATTGTTGGGGTTGGCAAAATTTTGCTGAAAACTCTTGGCCTGATCTCAATCTCATTCTCCACATAAAGAAAGGATCTCGCTCCTCATAAGTGTTCATATGACGCAGCGTTTGGGTATTTCCACATTTTTTAACAGTACTTTTCAATGGAAGTTTATCGAAGCGAGACATTCGTAAATCAAAACTGCCAGCTTATCGCATATTGATGAACATGCTAATCGCGAAAAATTTCTTATTTGGCATTATTTCATTTTTATACTTCTAGGCAACTAGTTATAAAACCATGTATAAGCTCCCAGCTCTCGAGAAATTTGAACCACAATTTTAGGCTTGAACTCCACTACAATAAACATCAAAAAAGCTAATTTCAAGAAAAAAATTGCAATTTCCCGTGATCCCTCGTTCAAAAATCATGACACGGTATGTGTTGTAGTTTCGTATTAAGGTTTTCAAAACCTCGGTAATATTATAGAATTTTACAAATTGTATAAATTCTATAATTGTAGATTTCGTAAGAATTAGAATTATGGCGGTAAAATGCGGTACAATTGCTACCGTAATCAACAGTAATGAAGAGCAATCAGCTAAAGTTTGTCCAAATGATGATACTCAAAATGCCATGTGCATAAGTGAGAGGGATTTTGGAGGTCGAGGAGGGCCAAAGCATAAAGATATATGACTTCGCAAAGTCAACAAATGAACAGCCAATCGAAGCATTCTTTTATGATAAGCATTGCGGCTCTATTTATTCAATAAGCAATATTTTATTCACTCAGTCGACCGTTTCTGCCCTCTTCTAGCTATTCACTTCAACCAAAGCACACTAAGCTTTAGGTCGAACGAAGCAGCAATCACTCCAACAAAAACAACATAAAACAAAAAAAAGCAAAACGAAAGCAAAACTGGTCAGCGCCATAAGAGATGACGGACCTTTCGCATTCCACTGAAATAATGATAGTAGCACGAAACGTAGGTCATGACAGCCTTCTCGTCCGGATGCGAGTTGACCATGTCTGGAAACAACACTCACACTACACACATGGACTTTGACACTGAAACGACTACATAAAAAATTAAATTTCGTTAGAGAGCTCAATCTATGCACTCGTACATAAAAATTCAAATTTGGTTAGCACTCCTCAAAAATCACTCAAAAGCTGAGTTAGAACGCCAGAGCCACGCCGCATTCGACATCTATGGGGGCTGCTCACTTCCTTACGCCAGTCCCTTTCTGGCACTCTCAGCACCGGCCGAGCTGAGCGGACCTCAGGAGCGTTACGGAATGCGTGGTAGAAGCATGACACGTACGTCATGATCGATTTCTCATCCGGATTCACCGCCGCGTCTGAGATGTATGCAATTCTTCAAAAAGAAAATGCGTCACCCTCACAATCTGACGGTTCCCACAGAAACGAAGATGTTCGTTTCCAAACCATTTGGAATGACCCAGAAGATGATGGACTAGGATTTCAACAATTCAGAGTTGTAGTAGGTGTCGGGACGCAGCTAAGCTCCGCCTGCTGCTCTCCCGTGAGCTGGCCGAGAAGGTCAGATAGGAGCCAGTGACCCCCGACGACCGTGCACCGTAAGGCTGCTTCTGCAGTCTCTCCCCCCTTTCCCCCTTATTGTAATATAACATGTAAATAATAAATATATATAATACCAACCTGTACCGCTACACATCAGGTAAGGGAATCGCGAACCCTTTATCCTGACATGGAGGTCCCAGGGAAGATTTCTTTTTTTAGAATTCTAGAATAATTTTTTTTTCTCTTCTCAACTTTTGATATGGGTTCCAAAAACTTACCCCCCCCCCTTCTACAATTCTATCGATCGCTACGGACGTCACCAACGAACAATTGTGTGTGAGTGTTTTTTTTTATGTTGCACATATATATTAGCTGTGTGAGTGAAATATCTAATCTCTGTGTGAGTCAAATATTTAACCTTTTCAGAAAGAAAAAAAATTATTAAATAAAATAAAATAAAAATTATTTATACAGTCCTGCGAACAGTCCCATTTTGTCAATTTCTTTCTTTCGTAAAGCGCTCGCATTTTCCGTGATCCGTGATTCCGTGAATCCGTGAATCCGTGAATTTAAAAAGCGCATTTAGCAGCCGTGATCCGTGATGCCGTGATCCGTGATCCGTGAATCCGTGATCCGTGATCCGTGAATCCGTGAAACCGTGATTCCGTGAATTTTTGTTAACTTATTTTATTTTTTTTTATTTTTTATAATTAGACAATGGACTTGTTCGCAATTGCTAGCACAAAATTCACTGCAGTATTAGACCCAGAAAGATAAATCTGCTGGCCCACTGCAGATAACTTCTGCTGGGAAGTGTCGACAAAACGTAATGCTTCGACCTCTCAGGAAATATAGCAAAACCCAGTGCTACTGTCCGCGCGCGGTGACCCCCTTTGGCTATAGAGCAACGCAGCTGCCCTCGCAAGTTGTAAGCATGTGACCCGCGACAAATTTTTTTTTGTGACAAATTAATACTATTTGAGCGCTATGACCTTTCAGCTGCGATAGTGCAAATACGTCTGCTTTGCGTCGCGATAAGCCTTGGAACAGGATTAATAATTGCGTAACCTAATCTTTTACGATCATGGTATACGTCCAACAGCAGCAGTTGCACAGTATGACCCCTTAGCGTCTGTTCTTATGCAACTTATACTGCCAACAACAACAGTTGTGCCCGATATCCCGCTGCCGTATATCTTACGCAAATTATATTATCGTAATATTTACCTTCTGCTGTCGAATACAAAACCACTTCAAACCTTTTGAAATATTTAGAAATATTCATACTATACACAACACTAATTATATTGTTTGTTGTTTCATGAAAATGATACACGTCTAGATCAATAAAAAAAAATTTCGACAGCTTTGGTGATATTCCGCGCCTCACAGATAATAATAGCACTCAAATCATTCTTAGTGCAGGATCGTACTTTTGAAGATTTACCGCGTTTTGCTACAATTTCCCATTCATTGAACAAACTTCGCATAAAAGATGCAGTTTTTCTTTGGAGCAAGGAGTGAGAAATAGCATTCCAAGCATTAAAACATGCCCTAGTGGATGCGCTTGTTTTAGTGCTTCCTATTCTAGGAAAACCCTATATCATCCACACCGATGCATCAACCATCGGTCTCGGCGCGTGCCCTCCTACAAGTCAATCCGGAGACTAGTAGTGAAACTTTTGATCGCACATCGCAGCCGCCTTTTTAAAATTCATGAGAGGAACTACGCAACTTCCGAGTTAAATTTTCTACGGTTGCCAATAGTTCCACAATGTTGATAACTGATCACGCCCAAATCGATCATGCATAGATCAGATCTCATGTCATTTAAATTCAAGAGCAGATACTCATCGTCTTTTTCAAGTTACTCAAGTAGATTGATAGCCTCAATTTTGAGGAACAGTCACCATGTATCAAACATAAGATAAAAATCATTGCTGCCTTGAAAAAAAAATCCAGTAGTCTTTGTCCTTCGAATCTATAGTCACAATGACGCGCTTCCACGTTGTACCCAAAATGCGTTCTAACATATGCAAATGCCAAAACAGCGGATCTTGTTTATAATTGCGATCAATTCTGTCGAATACTCTGCCATATGCATTGATTTTTAGACGCTTGGACTTGAAATTTTTAAATTAGTTCACACTTTGGAGTACAGATTCAAAAAAAAAAAAATCAACATGATCTGAGTTATCTATCTAACATCCTCTGCTTCTGACAATCATACTCTTTAAGCTATACTTATAAGTAGTGATATATCATCAAATTCTCAATTTAAAAAAAAAACCAAAATTTTCGGTCCTTTATTGTGATTTAGATGGTAGTAAAAAAAAAGCGCAACGAGTTGAAATCTTATATCCTTTGATTTACATTGCTCCAAGGTTGGAAATGTCAGATATAGAGATAATAACATTGTTATCACATTTGCGGTAGCATCTTTTCCTCAAAAATAGAATTGGCATACTTTCAGCTCAAAAAGTCTCAGAATCCTACAAAAAAAATTAGAACAGCGTTTTTTTTCACCAAGTGACTAAGTGAAAAAGCTTCCTTGAATGATTAAAAGTTTGGAAGTGATTTTTTTGAGTTTTTGTAGATGCTAATGTTCCCTGATGCCATTTCAAATTGGAATTGAAATGCTGAAAAAAAAGAAAAACAAGAAAAGCGAAGAAAAAAGAAAAACAAATCGCTTTGTTATCCATTTCAATTTCGAAACACTCAAAAAAAAAATTTTCATTTTTCAATCTATGCATCAGCTACACTGTGCTTGCATTAAATTTGCTTATAACTGACAATCTTCCGACTTTGTTGTAAGTCTGAAAAAAAAACTAAAAAAATTTTTGCACAACCAACTTTCAGGGTTTTGCTTCACAAAGTTTCTAAAATACAGAATTAATATCAGACCCAACATCCAATTCCATCTTCTTTGAGAAGAAATTAGGACAGCACTGCTTAACCGACTTTGCAATATTCATCATTATTTAGTAACTTTGGTTGTATTCATCTATTTTCGAAGGGGAAAAAGGCTAGCTTCTATGAGGCTGAACAATTTGAGAACATCGCGCTTTCTTTTTTCTTTTGATCTACATTAGAAATTTCAAGCAATTGTTGGTATACGCAAAATGCGGTTGTAACACAGCAGGAAAGGAAATTTCTTTCACTTTCAGTACTTTTCAGACCACAACCCTTGGTATGTTCACATAGTGTTTGGCGAAATGTGAAGTAGAATTGTTTTCAGAGAACATTTCTGCTGAAAATTCTGAAATTGAAAGAGATAAGGTTTCTTTACACGGTTGAAACTCTTCATAATTTTTTTCAAAAAAAAAATGAATAGTTATTACCATAGTTTCCAATTGCTAGAATTTTTTTTCTCGTCATCATAAAAATTTATTCAGGAAGAAACTGATATTCAAAATAAACCTTATACTGGAACAGACCAAATTTTTCGCTTAAGAAAAACACCACTCCACATAAAAATCAAATCTTCAAGATTCTTTCCTCAAACTCCGACTTGATATTGATTATTTAATGTCTCCACCAATCTGAACTTATTCAAAAATATTGTTATAAAGAAAACGTTTTTGCACGGGTTACTTCACTTTCACAAGCGCTTTCGAAAAGAAAAACCAAGCATTTTCTTAGTTTCTAAATTGAACCTCACAAAAATATCAAATTAGTACAACAGATTTGAGAACAATCTTTCTTATTTTCAATTTTTTTTTCATCAACACATGAATGATCTCGATCGAAAAAACAACTCTGGATTACAAATTCACAAAAACTCACATTCATTTTTGACAGCGAAAATCCTAACTTGAAAATTTTTTTTTCTCACAAGAGCTACGAATTTTTCAATCATCCACTCTTCCGAAATTTGTCATCCATTAGAGCAACCTCTAATTCGTTTGCAGGAATATTCATGAAGAAAGAACACTCTAAAAACATTCTCGAACTGAGAAGAAAGACATTTTCAAAAAAAAAAGAATTTGGTTTATTTTTTTTGAACATCGAGAGAAAGGAAAAAAAATTTTTTTTGGAGGAGGATGTGAAATGTGCAACTTTTGCCGGTCTCAAGGTTATAACTTTCAAAAAAAGGCAAACTTTTCAATTCGCTATTTTAGAAGCTAGAAGAGCAGATCCCAGAGATATATGACGCAATCAATTTTTAATAAGCTTATTATTTTTTGCAAGAATTTCGAAACCAATTTTATCGCAAGCACTTTTAGGTGCCTTACAATATGAGGTACCTGAAAAATCCAAAACTATTACTTCTACCGAACATAAAAAAAACAATTTCCACTTCTGTTGCTCAATTCAGATGTGTCTGTTTACACCACAACCGTCACTACATACAAAGTGATAAAATGGCACACTTTTTTTGCAGATCGGACTACTTTTGAGATGTGTGAGCAAGGCTAGCATAAAGTCTGATTACTATTTACTTCTTTCGCACTCCTGAATTCAACGACAGTAACGAAGAGCTCGGCCAAGCTCAGTTTCTGCATGTTAAGAAAATTCAAAGGTAGTGATGGCAGTTTAGTCAAAAGGATTATGCTTCTGGATGAACGTTTTTTTGAAAGATTTCGAGTTGTTTCCATGACGTAATTTTTTCTATTGATTGTGCACAAATCTGATGAAAAAAAACTTTCTTTTACAAAATTCGTTCATCGTCCTGTTTGCATTGACTTTTTGAGTTTGACAACCCGAAAGTGCAATAATTTTTTCTAAGTAATACATCGGCTCGTTGCCTCAGCATTTCTGGATAAGACCTGTAATCACACACTCAAACAATGAAGAAGCTCGCAAAATAGTTGTAAAACATGCATCGCTTGTAACAGTTCATTGAAAACCGCGCTCATGACTTTGATTCTAATTAATGGACACACTATTGGTAAGAACATTGGAATATAGCAGTTCCTCCAGTTTTGTGCAATTGCACAAACCAAGTCTGCATTACGTTGTTAAACGTAGCAATCAGAACTACAATTAAAAATATTTTCAGAGAATATTACTTGTAGCTGAATGGAGATTGTTTTCAGAGAACAATTCTCTTTTAACCGAAACGCTTCGCAGAAGAAATAACTTGCTGTTTGCCAAAAGAAAAAAATCCTCAGTGCTTCTGAACATGTTCAGATATCCAGATTGATATTCTGATCAGAAGAAATGACCGCATTTTTTTTGAAAGGTGATCAGCCGAAGCTGACAATAAGCAATGGAGGCATAGTTTTTTTTTGTCGCACTGAAAATCATTCTTGGAAATGAAAAGAAATTTAGAACATTTCACGTCACCCAGTTTTTATTTTTCCCTAGAAAAGGATGGTAATGATTCCTTTACAGATTTCAGCAGAATTCAGGAACAATCACACTATAAAATTTTCTGTATTGGATCTGGACGCTGAAGAAACATAGATAGCTTTTTAGATTGCAAATTAGTCGTGAATTACCACACATGATGTTAGGATCATTTCCCCTGAAGTTTTTACACTTATAACTCAAAAGCTACATATCGTAGTTTCTGCAGTGGAAACGTTCTGTTTGTATAATTTACTATGCCAAAATGTACTATTAATTTATTTTGTATAACTTGGTTTGCATTTTCATGTTGTCTATGTCGAAAATGGGCTAATGCTTCCAAAAACCACTTTTTTTTTTCAAAAAAAAAACAATTTAAAAAAAAGGAAACATCAGAACATGAACGACATCACGTTTGTTTTGTTCACGAATGTAGTCTTGAATTTCGTCGCAAGACTGCAAGACAATTTTCAAACGCAAAACTCAGTTTGGAAAAAATTCGACTATCAGAGTTTTATTTTTTCTGCTGCCGGGATATTTCTCAACGTGAGTTTGTTTACACCTATTTTGCCGCACCGCTGCGATTATCTATAAGCACAAATTTCTTTGAAACGGCAGTTCAAAGAATGGAAAAAATATTTTGTTCTAGGCAGCGAAAAAAAAATTCCCTTTTCTCTAACGCTCAAAATTTGCCACTATGTTGAATTAAACACAGTTTGTTGTGCTCAATTCTGCATCTAAATCTTCTTCTCCGTTTTCTAATCGATCGCATTATTTATATGCTGTATAACTATATGTCACTCGGTTCATATTATACAATGCCTTATTTTATTATACTTCCTAAAATATCACATGTTGCTTGACTACTTCATGTAAAATATAAATTCAGAATCACTAATGTCATCCAATATCGCCCAATACTTTTGGTTTCTATGTAATTTCTGCTCACCACGCTATTTTTTTTATTAACATGTTCTCAACAAGTTCCCTTCCAACCCACAACTTCCTCGTATCAACATTCAAATAGCGGTCACATTATACTCCTAAAATCTCCACGCCAACTAATCCCCTTTGTCGATTTCCGAGAATATAACACGCCTATTCACTTCCTACAACTACATGTTACTGCCTCTTCCAAGCAGTCCCCTACGTCACATCGTTCATTCCGTATATCTCTCCGCTTGAGGACAAGCTCACTCTATACCCCTAGGATGAGGTGAAGGTCGTGTTTGGTTATCCAGTCCGCCTAAGCCAACTCCTCTACTCAATCAAGCAAAAGGTAATGGTACCAAATCGAAGTTCCTTATGGTCTCGCCGTAACACGTGTACCCTTTACACACGTAACTCGGAAGACATTCAACAACAGCCGAACAAGCTCGAGGACGAGCTTTCTGAAGGAATGGAGATGTCGGGACGCAGCTAAGCTCCGCCTGCTGCTCTCCCGTGAGCTGGCCGAGAAGGTCAGATAGGAGCCAGTGACCCCCGACGACCGTGCACCGTAAGGCTGCTTCTGCAGTCTCTCCCCCCTTTCCCCCTTATTGTAATATAACATGTAAATAATAAATATATATAATACCAACCTGTACCGCTACACATCAGGTAAGGGAATCGCGAACCCTTTATCCTGACATAGGCATGCCCTACATGACGGCATTACAGGCGTAGAAATCTGTTTACGCGCATTCGCTGTCGACACAGCTAGGGCACTACGCGAACCGCCATCTAGGCAATGAAACTTGAGTCGATACTGTACCACATGAGGACTGATTAGTGTTTTTTCCACCAAATTCCCCCTTTCAACATCGACAAAATTCATAACTCTTCAGCGGGTTGTTTAGCTTTGTAAGTTTGGGACGAGCCTATGGAGATTTTTTTTAAATCTCTTGGTTTTTGTTTGCCTTCAATTCATGCAATTACGTTACCCGTGATTGTGAGCTTTGCAAAATTACTGTTAGTAGATCTGATTTTTATACAGTATTCTAATTCAAAATCCTTTTGGGACATTTTGTAGAGAATGACTAGAAAGAGGTTGATGATCGCATCTTCGAAGTGATATCCTGTCTCCTTTATTGAGTTGTTTTATCCAGAACGTTGAGTACCTTGTCACATTAAAACACATTTACTGAGCATACAGCGGTTATGTGAATGCACCTGCCTCCGAAGTTAATACGTTACAGTAGAAAAGTTTCGAAAAGTGGAATATAGGGCTTTGGAAATTTGTGACCTCTCCGTTATGATCCTCCATGTGAACAGACGTTGTCAAAGACAACAAGGTACTTTTTGGCATAGCATGATTTCGCTGTTTCTTCGCTCGTGAACGAAGCGGGCAGTATCAACTACCCTTTGATTCAACTGGCTTGGCGGCTGCAAGGCGTGGCTTCTGACCTAACTAAGGCTGGATAGAGAGCTCGCGCGCGGAAAAGATGAGACTGCGTCGCGGGCGCGAGTGGCCTAATTTAGATCACAGAGCCCCGCCAGCCGCCGAGCCAGCTGTAAGGTTATCCTCAGTCACAGTAACTGAGTGTTACAGAAATATCCTTTGTAAACAAAATGCCTACCTTCAGCATCCAACATCCGAGGGATGTCAAGGTGTTTTTCGGCGACATCAAATGCCAAGTTCAAATTGTGCAGAGGGTCACCTTTGTGCAGTGAGTAGTAATCGATCAAGTCTGGCCTGAAAGAAATCTATGGCTCCAAGGCAGTAGATTATCTCTTAATTTTTCCTTCAAAAAATTTATTTAACTCTGGTAAAGTTTTTGCAATTATGTTTCTGAAGAGAAATAAGCGTTCCGGAGGGTATTGAAAGCAAATATCTCCGATTTGATACGGCGACGCATACTGATCTAAAAACACTCGGATAGCACTTTTGGAACTGGGTCCCTCAGAAATGCTTCAAAGATCCAATATAACCATTTCAGTTCCAAAGCTTTTGGCATCGTACACATACTCCAAATCCTTACCTATGTCTATGAATAAGTGCACAGAATGCGAGACCATCCTTCCAAGATGTGTGGAAGTTTTGTACATTCACATTATTGTATGGTGCTGTCTTTCGCTGGCACCAGAGCAGAAGACCATCACGAGCAGATAGCTCTGAAAATTAGGTCAATTTTCGCTGTATGAGAATAACTGCATGACTATGCGATGAAAAAAAACGATGATAGGGAAATGCGAATGCCTTCGCCAAAGCGCTTTTCCTTTTTATTGTTAGAGAAAACGAAAATTGATATAACTATGCTTACCTTCAACATTAATGTCCTGAATAGCGAAGCGCAGGATAATGGTCCAAATAAGACCAAGAGTCATCTTGACATTGCCATCGACGATTTCTAAAACAATACACATTAACACGGCTTATCTGTAGCCATGAAAAAATCTGCTTCCAGTGGATAAGGCTTCCTTTTAAGGCAATACAGCGCCTCAACTACCTCATATCAACTAGATTTCACTCAAATATGGTTAGCTGTTACCACCATACGACCCATTTCATTTTTAAGCATCATTTCAGCAGCAGCAGAAAACAATACAAGAATATAAATCATTTTGATAAAATGTTTCCAAATTTCAGAATTTCAAGCCAAAACTGAAATTCTTGAGGAAAAAGCACGTGCGTTGGCAAAAATCATAAGTGTCCTTATAAATGTATTCTGTATGATCGCGTAAAGGGAGACAGCCCAGGATTGTTACGGGGGAAGAATTGCTAATTTTGCCTGACTCAGGAATGGCTAAAGATAAAGTTTGCCCCTTTTTGCCTCATGTCAGTTGTGGTTTTACCATTCACTTAACGCATAGATCGCCAGAGGGTGAAGTTTGCCATATTTCTTTAATCTAAACATTGTAATGAATGGGGTGAATTTTGTCATTGTTTGCCTATTTATGGTCGCTAAAATTTAGCGTTTGCCATTGCCTTTTTTATTATTTTTGATTGTGAAAAAATAAAGCAATTTCAATACGACTGTATGATCTACTGAGCGTGTATGAGTGACTGAAAAAAATAAAGCATTTTCTTTGATAGTCTGACTTTTAGTGATAAGTTCTTTCCAAATTTTGGCATTAAATAGTGTCAAGTTTTTTATTAATTGAAAAATTATCTGGCTTGCTTTAGCAACCCAAGCTCATCTAGAAAGAAGAAACAAAAAATGGAATTAGCTCAAGTAGGACCAAATTTAACAAAAACCGGTTGAGATAACTGCAGAATTTCACAAATAATTTCCACTCAAACCTTCAGCTCCGATGGAGACGAGCTTTACTCCTTTGCTCTCGATATATTCAAGCGCTTTGTTGACGTTAGCAATCTTATGGAAGCGCATTTTGCCACGGTCGGGACGAGGCAAAGGCTCGCCGGAGATCACCTCCAGCAGAAGCATCAACTTTAACCCTGAATTAGGAAATTAAAATTTTTTAGAGCACAGTTATTAAGATAAAATCCCGTACCATTTCTAAAATCCTCTTCTATCAAGTCGATAGCTGTGCCAGCTTTTCTCAAGTGTGAGTTGCACCAGGCAGTAAAAGTCTGAAAGGATACGATTGCAGCATGCTATAAATTTGTACAAAAACCTAACAACGCCCCTAGCCCACTTAATTTTATTTATTGGACTGAGTGTGAGCCACCTGTCTGGATCATTAGTCTTAGAAAGACTTCTTTAGGAAAAAGCGACAGCGGACTCAATAGAAAGACTGCAGAAGGGAAAGAAGTTAAATAACATCTATTCATTCCGAAGTTGTGAACTTTTTACAGAAACAGCCCCAGTAGAAGGTCAAGAATTTCACAACAGTACGGTTAAGAGCAAATTTTGAGGAAAATGTACATAGTAGTGGACCTTCCGCGAACGTGAATGTATGAAGAAAGTTATGTTAATGAAATTTTCGAGTCTGCGAACCTAAAAACAAATTCGATGAAAACTGGTCAGCGTCGCGGCCAGAACTGACTCGTATGGTAGTCTGCATTTGCGAATCTTCGATTCCATTTTACAGGATTGTGAAATCAAAAAAGTAAGAGGACTTATGAGAAAACTAGCTGATTAAAATTCAAATTTTTTCAATGTTGTCCTATACAAATAGGAAAGCGTACTACTTTTCTTCGCACTCGTATTTATGGACACTATCATTAAGTAGAAATAATCCTAAATATTGCTTTGGCATATGTAAACAGCTTTTGTAATGCCAAGTACTATTCAAAAGGTAGCTTTTTTAATTTTCAACAGATTTGCATGGTTCCATTTGTATAAAAAGGAAATCATGCGCTTTGTAGCAACGCATTCGGCATTTAACTAAAGCAAATGTCAGAAATTGAGAATCAAAGGAGGTAAATCGTATTTAACCTTTTCAAAATCAGGCCATGGCAAATCATTGCAGCTAAATTCTGGAACATCTCATTATATGAATCTTAAAATATACTCAGCAAATGATCTATATTCAGAAAATCCAGATTTATTGTTTTTGAATTAGGAAAGTTTGTACCGACATGTAGACGTCTTCACGTAAGTTATGCATTCACAAAAACTGTAATTAGAAAAAAAGTTACAATAAAAGTTGGAACAGTCAGCAAAATTCATTGTTAGCCTATTAAACAAAAATAGATAGATTGAAAAGCCTTTTGGTAACTTTCAGAAGTTTTCCGAAAATGAGAGAAATCTTATTATTCATTCTAAATGACTAGAAAACGCGAGACTGCATTGCACACATTGTCTAAACAAACCTAATCGCGTACTTAGCAGGTTTATACTTGTTAATTATCTCGTCCAGGTTTATTCACTCTTCGGAAACAGGAAAGAACAAACTCAAACTTGTTAAGACATTGTCCGCAATGCGGTCTCGCTTCTCCTAGTCATAGAATAGATATACGTGCTAAACTAACCCCTCACTGCAGATTCAATACAAATTTCCACTCTCATCGAGCATGCTCTTACTGAAAGTCTGCAAAGCAGCTCACCTTCTTCTGCTGCTTTTCCCAAGCCGGATCGAGCAGACCTTCACGATCCCATTCTTCTTCTTGTTGCGTATAATCGTATCCAGGTTGATGCTGTTGGTGGAACGCCGGTGGAGCAGCGTAGTAGTCCACCATCACCCTGCGCCTGTCAAGAAACTTTGAATGGGAAAATATATCTTTGTCAGGATAAAGCGACAGACGACAAAGAGAGCAAAAGGAGAAGCACTGAAAGATGAGAATGAGGTTATGTCAGCTATAAATTCTTGTAACAAAAACTATGACACTCGGAGCAGGCCAGTGCAAAATAGGTTGACGCCAGCATTCCATAGGCTCACGACTATCAATAGGACAATAAAGAAAGGAAAAAAGCAAACACAGCCAATAAACAACAGGCACGATCATATACCAAAAGGGTAGGAAAAAGTTGCTGAAATGGGGTGGAAAAATCGAGAATTTCTCGAACAAAGGAAGTCGACACTTGGTTCTCAAGCACACGGATTGCAGCTATATAGCAGGTAAAAATATGCTTTTCGTGGAAAAAGATTTGGATTAAAGAGGAAATAAAGAAGAGTTCCAATGTACAAATAATAGAGGAGTATAACGAATGATTTTAAGCAATTGCACTAATTCAATGGTGAATTTTAAGAGCTATCCAATCAGGCTTTAAAGAACTAAATCGAAACAGATAGATCAAAAGTGACAAGGAAGCGAAAAAATTAAATTGCTTATCGCTGATAAACATCAAAAAGCCGCATATCGAAGCATTTTCTAACCCACTCTCCCCTCTCATCCCACCCACTCCATGTTTACAACGAGCTGTGTAAAAGAATAGTCGGAATTAGAAAAATCAACTCTGGCTCTCTCTCCCAGTACTTACCCTTACAACTCGTAGCAAACTTACCACCAGCTGCAAAGCTTAGTGTGGCTCAACAGATGCAAACAATGGATTTGTGCGACCATCTGGCCAGATTCATGGATAAGAAGACATAGTAAAGATTTACAGCGATATCTCTGACATATGAAGGGGGTTGCAGAAGCTTGGAACAGAGCATGAGTAGGCAAACTTGGTTTGTGTATAGTCATAGACATAGGCTCATTAATTTCCGTATGTGCAATTGCACAATTTTGCGGGATGCTCGCGATAGCGCACATGTATGTACATCTTCACACAAAACTGTGCTTGAAACAACATGAAAAATTTTAAAAAATAAAAGAAAAGCGATATCCGCCCGTAGCCAACTTCATCTTGGAAAATGTGCACTACACATAATGACAAAGGAGGTCATTCAACTGCCTAATAAATCTTAACAGAATTGCTGGTGACATTACAGAAACTCAGATAAAATCATAATAATTATAGTCATTTTCAAAACACGAAGTAGATTCAAACTTTTTTGCAGATTTTTTCTCAGTTATCATTGAGCTTGGTGAAATCCATCGCTAATTCTTCGAGGTCTTTTCGGTCGGTGTTGGATTCAAGATAAGATATTTTTGACTCAAGATGGAAAGTCTGAAAGATGGTCCTGACCAGCTTGAAAGTTGAGAAAAATAGTAAGATAAGTTTTCGACAATGTAAAAAATCAAAATATTGAGTAAGAAAAGAATGGATATAGGGAGAAAAGATCGATACTATTCTACTCGATGTGGTGCCCTCTCTTCCCCGTACGAAGTCGCCAATGACTCCAAACCCTAAACTTTGAAAACCGCCAAAAACGAAACGTAGACTTAAAAAATTGCAGCTTCTGTGTCTTTTCAGCCTTAAAAATGACAGAAACGATAATTCCTTTGCTTTCTGTCCCGAAAACGATATCCAGCTTGATTACAAGTTACCTGTGCTAAGCCCTGCTACAGATACGACCAGGCAAATAAATGAATTACAGAAAAGTGATGGACTTCTTCTGCTGCCGATGATGATGTGCTTCCCCTAACACACACAAATACAAGTAGACATTAAATGGGGTTAATGGAAAAATCTCACATTCTACGCGATGAGCCCTCCCCCCCCCCTTCAACCCCAAAGATTTGGCACAGTAACAAACCATCAAACAGAGAAAAACTTGCGTGGAGTAAGGGATAAGGATTTGGAGGGAGTGGCAAGAAGAGCACTCTACAACACAACATATTCAAACAAAAGCGTGAGCAGCGTCGCGAACGACGAGAGCCAACGACTGAGGGCGCGACGCAGACAAGAGCACTCGGCTGTACAATCGACATCGAGTTGTGAGCGGTAATTGGACAAGGACAACCGCCGACTAATTCCACGCCATTTGCAACACTCAATGAGCTGCTCATTCGCTGATCTACACGAGGACTGGTACATGGAGGGAGAAGAAGAGAAGGGAGAGGGTCTTTTGTCTGGGATGTCTTCTCTTAGGGCGCGGTATGACGGTGGTGACTACCACACTGGCATATAGACTCTCTAAAGCAAGGTTTATATGTTCTGAAAACTGTGTCGCGTTAAGAGCAAGTTGAAAGGCGACAAAATATGAAGAAAAGAGGTTAAGGAAAGCTTGGAGATGAATTTGATCGCTACTTTATCAGCATTACGGTCAACTTTCAAGCGAGTAAGGCAACATATGCCAGATAATAACCTCAGATGATGCACATCTAGCCAAAATATTTCGGAGACATTAGCGGTTCTAGTGGCAAAAAGGTTGAAGCCTTTTGACATTTTGAATGACAACGGGAAACGCGTGCCCAAAAGCCATTTCCTCGTTCATCGAAAGAAAGAGCAATGCATATGTAGCTGCTGATATTCAAAATCTACGCAACGCAAGTACCAGATCACAGATAAAATTTCTTCCATAAAACCACTGAACAAATCGCACTGTCAGCTGACGTGCTCTTAGAGTTGGAAGAATTACCTGACAGAGAACCGAACCTTGAGGTCAAGCTGCTGATGATGTTTAGTGAAAAGCAGCGATTCGGGAGGAATCAGAAGGGAGTGTGTGGCTAACGCTATGCACCTTCATCCGAAAAACATTTTTGTTGCCCTCCCCCCGCACGGAAATGGTGGATACGCCACTGGTTCATACTGATAGTATATCAGCATTAGAATACCCAAAAGCGAATTTCTTGGTAGCAATATGCACTAGTCAACATGGCAACGAACATTTGTATACTAGGCAGTGCTACAAACCATTCTGAAAAAAAAAGAGGAACTAATGACATAATCTGAGTAAGCCCTAGGCCAACTAATGTAAGAGTCTAATGCAGTTTTGCTTAGAAACTGTCAGCACCAGCTGCAAAATTTAGCCGTGGGTATTGAGCACACCAGAGTCGAGAACTCGATGCACTGACGGTATAGATGGAGCACCTTCACTCAGCAACTCATTTCGCCCTGGCCAGAGTTCAAAGCGCATAAAAGTGCAGCAGATGATGATGGAGCTGGGTAGGGTATATCTAGATCTCAAAACAGAAAGAGTTCGTGTGACGTTGATGCAAGCACATACTTAATCAACTATATACAAAAATTACGTTGCGGCCACTAGCCTGGGAATTGTGCATTTGAAAAAGCTGGAATAATGAGACTGTGGATCTTATCTTTACAAGTGAAAAGAAACACAAGCGTCAAGCACAAACTCACAGATAGTACAGAATAAAGCTCTTGATTTACAACAAAATGTCTGATTTTTGAACTAAATCCTTCATCCACTCTTGCCCAATTGATTTTTCTTCTGAAAAAAAAAAGCCCCCGCAAATCCCATCTTCTTATCAGCATTCAGCTAAAATCGCTCAAGCCTTCGTAAATCCTTCGAGATGTTTCGGCAGCTTCGCGAAAAGAAACAGGTGTTGGGAATGATCAATTCTGTCGATTTTATGCATCAACGAAAAATGACACTCAAAGTTTTCAGCAGCAGGGTTTGACTCATCGAATAATATCACAAAAATTCACAAAAACAATTCCTCAATAAAAAGTATACCTACGAAATTAAAAGACATGGTGATCTGCTCTTCCGATAGATTTGATAATTTAGTAGAAGTGCTATAGTAATGACGATTTTGGGTCACACTTGACGCTTTACGATCTACGAGACGAAAAAAAAAACATTTACCATAACCCGCGCATAAGCAAAAACTTTTTTTGCGATATCGGCAGAGGAGGAGGCGTTCCACTTCCGCTCCACACTCTTCCACCTCCCTCCTTTTTCCAATCATAGGAGTGTCAGTCAAAAATAGATAAGGACTAGATAACATGAAAAGAATAAACAGGATGAGAACTACGGAAGGTCAATAATACCCGAGGCGTGTAAGCGACAGAGCTCGAGTGTAATACGGCTTGAGGTGGCAAAAAACCCGAGAGGAGAAACGCGGCAGCATCAAGCAACGGCACACGGACACGATGAGGAGAGCACCGCTTGCCGGATCGTTGAGAGCTTCAGCCACCCAGCAGCATATCATAGAATTGACGGTTGGTATGATGTCCTTGCTCTGCCGACAATATTTGCGCGTAAACTATGGCATCGCTGGTAGATACAAGGAAAATCCACAGCCATTTACAGGAGCTTCGCAAGCATATTTTCGACTTTTCTGAGCGGATATTTTTAGCGCAAATGTTGGTGTCACCGCAGTGGATAATAACCGTTAGATTTATCAGACTTTACTTTTGGCTATCAGCTTGATTTTTTGAAGTATTTCGGAAAGAAGTTGAACGACGCTTCACCAGAAGTAAAGAAGATACAAGGAAGACTAAATAACAAAAGGCTTTTGGCCATGTCAAGTACAGATGTTAGAGATAGAGACATCAGTCAGAAAAAAAGATGCTGATCTGCTCAGACAAATGACCAGAACTTCCGCAGAGCGCTTGCGGAAGTTCCGCCGGGTCACCTGCGGAAGTTCAGTAAACGTGCTGCGGAAGTTACAAAATGAGGTCCTGCGGAAGTTCCGAAGAATGCGAACTACAACAGCAAAAGAGAACACCGAAGCAAGATTTCAACCTTGCTATAATGACTGTGAGACTCACCTACTATTCTCTGCACTACGACTGACATGTTCGATAATGCACTCTAGTAGTTGGCAAGGCAACATCACGTTAGGCAACATATCAAAGTCCTGCGGAAGTTCTGGCAGGTGGTCAAAGTGCTGCGGAACCTCTGGCATTTTTCGGAATTTCCGCAGGATTTTGAAGAAGGTCCTGCGGAAGTTCCGTTTTTCAAAC